CCACCTTTTAAGGCCATCCAAACTACCCCTTGTTGGCCTTTTAACCACTGAATTCCAGAGGAATATCAGTGGTGGAAATGTGGTTTTAAGGTCCCAAATAGGGGGGATGGTCCCCTCTCCTTTTGTCTTGCTTGCATGTGTTGATGGCCCACCAAATGAGCATGTGTTTCTACTTCATTGTGATTTTGTTCAAGCATATTTTTGTCACTTTTTAGACCTGCCATAACTCTGTTTTTAGTTTGTTTGATCATTGGTTGCTTTCTCTTTACACTTGTAGTGTAATCTTGCTAACTAGCTTTGCATGCTTGCTACTTTAGCCCATCATTCTCGCTTATTTTGGCTATACTCTAGCATGCTTTTACTCATGTTTTGGCATGCTTTAACTCTGTTTTGAGTGGTTTAGGTCATATGAGGCTTGTCTTGTATGGCTATAGCATGATAGGCTTTAATAACTTTGTGTTTTGAGTCCTCTGGCATGCTTTGCTTGGGTTGTTTGCATGATTTGGCATCATTTAATATGTGATTTTAGAGCATATACCACTGTCACACTTCCACATATTTCACTCTTCAAGTGTTTTTAAGAGTTGAGCGTTATGCCTTGTTTGCGAGCCATCATATGAGCATGCTTTTCCTGCTTTTTTTGCTTAAGTGTCATCATGTTTTGGCCACTATTTTAGCATGATTGAGCTCTTTTTTGAGTTGGTTTGGTTGTTTGAGCTCGATATTACATGCTTCTAATGTAATACACTTCACTAGCTTTGGTGCCTTTGGCTATTAACATGTTATGTTTGTATTGCTTGCATGCCTTAAGGTCTTTAGCATACCATCTCAGCACTAAAGCAGCTACAACCTCCCTTATTTCTTCATTTTTCAATTTGATTTGAGGGTTGCTTGGCCTTAAGCTTGTGTTTAAGTATGAAGTTGGGTTTGTGCCCAAAAGGCTTTAACCCTCTTTTGAGGGTTCCTCCTAATCAAAGGGCATAATCCCTCTCATGTCCTAAACCATTCTTTTGGTTGACCTCCTCTCCTTAGAGGACGTGCACATTGGACTTAATCAATTAAGAAATGGTTTGGTAATGTAAATGTGTAAATAAGAATCAAGCAAAGTAAAACATGCCAAGATAACATATGTGTGCTGCATTGCATGTGTTTGGATCGGACGTTAATCCAAACACTAGAAATGTGGCACGTTTCATACTCCAAGTGATGAATCGTGTTGCGTTTCTTGGTCGTTGTCACCCTTGATCATGCATGATAGGGTGATGACACTTAGAGTCCTATGTATGCATTCACTAACATTGTGCAAGCTTGACTTTTTGGCCATCATGCATTGAGATGTGTGGTTGATGGCTTGAGAGCTGAGTACTATGCTACTTTGAGCTTGAGATATGATAAGGAGGGTAGTTGCACACACATTTTCTTGCAAATACACTGTCATGCCTTTGTTTGTACTCTGTTGCAGCAAAAAGAGAAATTGCAGGAATCAGTGGCCGACCGGCCACCAGGCCAGCCGACCGGCCACCAATACTGGCCGATGGCCATCACTTCCAGCTGATCAGTTCATTAGTATGTTCCTGGGATCAAATAGAAGCAATCTGGAAGTTGGCACAATTTTCAAGGGTTTAAAAGTGTGCAAACAGAGGCATCGTGAGGCAAGGTAGTGGATTTCTGAGAGGACACGACCGAGCATTCATGCCTCCTTCGTTTGCAAGGCTATTTTATTGCTTTATTAGCCAATTGTAGTTAATTACATGTGTTGATTTAGCTTAGTTTACTTTGTAATATTCTAATTAGATTAGATTAATTCGGTTTGTAACTAATTAGCTTAGTGTAGCTAGTTATTTCAATTGTGTTGTAATTAATTAGCTAGAATAGTTGATTAGTTGGTTTGTAATAAGTAGCTTAGCTTAGATTAGCTTAGCTTATTTATTCGGACCCTCCGTCGAGAGGGAAAATATTGTAATAAGTGGGCGTGTGTGTGTGAATGTCTTCCAACCCCATTTTTTTCTCCCTTTTACTTATCAGCTTTTGATGATTAGTTTAGGGTCATTTTCAATTAGCATACCTTATGTTTGCAAGTTTGCATCATTCATTTGTCTCGCATGCACCGGGCTCGGAGCATCATTCAAACTGCATTGACTTTCAATACTTATTTGAATACGTGTTTCAAATCATGTTATCAAATTGTTGCATTTCATTTGCCATTTTAGATAGCTAAACCTATTTAACTGCATTTTGCATGTGTCGCATTAGGCATCTTGTATAGTTAGGGCCATGCATTGATTTCTAACTAGTTCTCTGTTTTGGCTCGGAGTACACTGTCAGTGTATATGCTTTAGCATCCTTGCATGAGTGCGAGCGTTGCCATGACAGCATGCTTGCCATGAGGCCATTTGCTTAAGTGTTTAAATTGCATGAATGCCTGTGGATGAAGGCTTCATTGCTTGAATTGGGACAATTCATCAAATGTGAGTTTTAAGCCCACTTGAAGGTGGCAAATCCACGCTTTAGCCTACTTACGAGTAGCACTTCCAAACCATTTTCAAAAACAAACATGAGTTGTTTTGTTTCGATTCTCATGATTGAGTCTATACTTGTATGTTGTGTGCATCACATAGTAAGTTAGATTAATAACTGGAATAAGAACACATGTGTTTCTAAAGCAACATATCATGCTTAGTAGAGGCTGATCCTTTGATCGGGCGAGCGAGGGTGCTCATTTCATGACCTTCCCCTCTCGTACCCAAGTTCTTGAGCCGAGGTAACTTTGGTGATGACAGAAACGTGGCCTTTGGCACGAGTCAGGGTTTCCTAAATTTTCCAAAATAAAATATCTAGGTCGCGACTCTGTAATCTGGAAAAGTAGTCCATGTTTGGCACTTCTTGATTACAATCAATTTTCCAAAACGATTTGCGGGATTTGGACTCTTTGGTGATTTATCAGTCTTATATTGCACTTTGTGAGACTAGATACAGAACCGTGACAGGAGTCCGAACTGTAGTAGCTATGAACCCAAATCCGCGCCCTCTCCAAAAAGGGGGGTGCGCAGAGGAAGTTCGAGTGGTCTGCACACTGATCATATTAGTTAACTGTGTCAAAATTGAGGATATAGTGAATTTGATTGGTTGTTATTTCTGTTGCCTGTTTTTTTATGTTAGAATATGAAATTTTGAATGAGAAGAATTTTCATGCCCTTTAGGAAGAGTTTTTTTTATTTCATTTTATTTTATTTTTCAATTAGGGGCCTATATACATGAAGTTGCTATTTTGTTGATCCTTTCAATTAGGAAGTTTTTCTTTCAATAGCTAGCCCTTTAGATTTAAAAATTTTCAAAGTCTTTGGAGAATGAGACTCTATTCTTGTTCTTTCCTTCTTTTGTTTTTTTTTTTTCCTTTTTTCGGTTAGGCGACCAGGTGATTTTTGTTTTCAGAAAATGGATTATCAAGATTGACCTGAGTTTCTTAGCTCTACTGCAATATGAATATTTCGCTAAAGTCATGCTTCATTTGAAGGCTTCTTGTGGTATGTCTATGTAGTTAGGTATTGTCATGAGGTCTAGATCCATGAAATTCTCATATGGAAATTGATATTCAAACAGAATCATAAAAAATTTAAGACAAGAATGGTGTGGTAATGCAATTCTCGCAATTATGAAAAAAAAAAAAAAAAAAAGCATTTTGACTTCCAATGAATATATATATAATGAGACATATGTATGATTTTTTTGTATATAAATTTTGTTTGTATGGCATTTCCCTTCTCATATTATAAAGCATGATGCTATTTGAATTGTGACGTGCCTAGATTTAATTCTTTGCAACCTAGGAGATGTAGATGTGTCTGCATAAACCAGTATGTCTACTATGTCACTCATTTTGGAAATCCATATTTATACATTCTTAATTTTGTAATCTTTTAGTAACTAAAGAAAATTTAAAGATATGAACACGTAGAATGGAGTAGAATTGAAATTGTGCAGAGGCCTGACTTTGATGAATTTTTAAAAATAGTTCTCTACCTTGTAATTTAATGAAATTGTAACACGAAATCCCTCCATGAGTCTAGTATATTGTGTAAAATTTCTAGAAGAAAATTCCAATTAATGAATTTTAAATAAATCTTGAACTAGGTTGTGTTCTATTTTACTAATATGCTAAATTCATTTATTCGATTAATTCAGTTTATCCTCTCTCACTATTTATCGCTTTCATGTTAGGTGAATATTGTTCTATCTTTGAAATCAATATTATCAAGAATTTATTGTTTGGCTTATAAAGATTTGTTTGGCAAAAACATTTATGTTATGCTTTAATTCTACCTACCTACCTACCTATAAATATTTCTATTATGCTTTAATTCTACCTACCTACCTATAAACATTTCTATGACACTACTGCCATTAGAATGTTTTTGATACGTGTGTAAAGTTGTATGTATTGATGTTTGATTTGAAGTTTGTGGTTTTTTAAATTTTATATTGGCCATACCATTTGTAGTCTGAGATGTAAAGTTGTATTCTTTTTGTTTTTGTTTTTGTTTTTGTATTTGTGGAGTAATAACAGGGGCAAATAGGACGGTTTATGAAGTTGAACAGGCCAAGAGTTGGGCACTCCCTACAAACTGCAGTACACTATCAGAGGTTTCGCTATATTTACCTTCCTTTGTCTCTCTCTCTCCACACACCTCTCTATACATACATACATACATATGTATATAGTCTAGTCTAGTCTAGTCCTTTTTAAACATGGAAAGAGCATGCCAAGCCAAGCCACTGACTTTTTTGTGAGGAAAATTAGAATCAACTAATAATGTAATAATTACACATATGATTATTATCAGTTCATGAAAGTATATATATATTGAAATATATATTAGAAAGATAGATAGTAGATTGATTAAAAGGAAAGGAAGATTTCCAAAAGACGCAAGAAAAGCTTTGTATGTTTGTTGGGAAATGAAAAGTGTGTTCAAAAGCTGCATTCCTTCCTTTCTGTCAGGGTTGGCTGCTGTTGCTACTAGCTGCTTGTTGCTACATGTTGTTGTTATTAATCAAAGCTATGGTTTTGGGGGCTTGTGCTTGCTCTGCCTTTGCACAAAAATATGGCATATGCTAGTTTAATATTTCATCACCAAAATAAGGCATATGCTAGTTTGACATTTCATCACCAAAATATGGCACATGCTAGGAATTGGGCCTCGCTTGGTTGACATGTTCAAAGAAGCTTATGAGAGTGTGTTTTATACATTGCTGAAGTCTAAATTTTTCTTTGTTTCATTTGGTGGACAGTTCACTAAACTTTAATTGTTTGCTGGTGCTATTACCCAGCTGTATAGCTGCTCTTAGTGACCTGTGGATGGATTGTCTTGTGCTTATCATTAGAAAATGTGTCTCTTATAATTTCTCGTAATGTTTTAATTTTTAATGTCTAACAAGCTTTCTGTAAGATGTAGAAGATTCAGAATTGTAAGTGTAGAATTTTCCTCTCTCTCTCCCTCTCTCTCTCGCTCTCTCTCTAAATTATCATCAAAGTTGTAGAATTCTCATTGATCTTTAAAAAAGAAAAATTGTAGAGTTTTCGTCAGTTAATGTAGGAACTTTAGTTTATGAGCAAGATCTTGTTCCTACATTGATAATAAGTGAGAGCAATTATGAAATATTTTCAGAAAACTATCAAGCATATGATTTGGTGTTCTATAATTGGGGTTATTACATGTCAGTGAAGTTAGGAAAAAAAGTACAAATTCATGGAAAAGTTTACAAATTTAATTATTAATATGTGTAAAGTTTTTCATTGATTTGATATTTTTGTTGAAAAGTTACCCTGTTGTGTTATTTTCCCTTTATAATTTGTCTAAGACACATCCCGCCCACCTGTGCATCTTGTGTGCACATAAGTGGGCGTAGATGACTAATGGCTTGTGTAATGTCATTAATGTTTAATTTAGGAAAGAGATTAATATTACATGCAAGGGAAGGAAACACATTAATGTAGGTTCCTTGAATTTTTAAATAGTTTTATAGATAATGTTGTTTTGTTTGGTCTCTAAGCTCTTAACCTTAAGATATCTAATGTCTTTTATCAGTAATTAGTTTGCTGATATAAAGACAAGATACTGGAATAAGATTGTTGTGCTGATCTTGCCAGTTGACAATAAAAACTTTGTATCTCGGCTACCAGGAGCATTGTTTCTTTGGTAGGCTGCTTCTTGCATTGTGGAAGTAGTGGCCCAAATAAATTCTGACATAGTGTTTATGAAAGCTGAATAAACTTGGCCAACCATATACATCTCTCCACTCACCAGAGAGACACTTGTGTGATTGAACTCCTATTTCCTAGTTCATGTTTACTGGTGCACTAGTAGTAGTTTTATGGTGTTTACGCAATCATCTGGTAGAATATGTCCTTGTTTGGCTCTATATCTCACTGGTATTCAAAACCACATTTTTGCTGAAGTGAAGCTTAGGAGTAGAATTCGGATTCCACTTGTGTTTGGTATTCAAAAATGGCATAGATTGTGGTTTCATACTTCTTATTACTATTTTGGGTTGACATTGCATTGTTTAACTATCAATCGCTCTGCAGGTGTTGAAGTTCCAAAGTATGTGGACACTGTTACTCCTGAATACAAACCCAAGTTTGATGCCCTAGTGAGAACTCTAAATTCTTATTTCTTTCTGATTGATTGTCAGTCTATTGAAGATTTATCTACTCTTTACCTCCACTTCTCTGTTTTCACCATCTATCAAGTGGATTTTTTTTTTTTTCCTTCCTTTCAACATCTTCCTCTACTGCAAAGCTCTTGTAAGCACCCATGATTTTATGAAAATGCAACATTTTGGGGCTTTGTAAAAGTTTGAATTTTTGGTGAATAGTAGTCCATTTGTAAATGACCTCCATCCAATGGGGACTAAACTAGGAAAACCTTTTTTTAAGTAATCTATTTGTAAAGTTGTTTGTTCACTAAAAACTTCAAAAATCTTTAAAGTTATTGCTGAAAAAGGACAAATGAAATATATTTTACCTTTTGGGTAACTAAGCATTTGGGTTGGGATTTTGGTTGAATAGATATGTCTTTTTGAAATAAGGTGAAACATTTAACAAAGAAGTATGTTTTGAGTTACAGTTGGTGGAACTGAAAGAAGCAGATGCATCTCTGAAGGAGTCTGGAAGATTAGAGAAAGAAATTGTAGAAGTCCAAGAGTTGAAGGTAATGCAAAAAAATATGAATTTTGTTTTTTGCCAATTTTTCACCTGTTCCCTTTATGTTGATATCTGAAGGGTTGTTTGTTGTGTAACAGCAAAAGATCAGTACCATGACTACAGATGAATATTTTGAGAAACGTCCAGAGGTAAAGAACATTTTGTTTAGATTTTGTGTTTAGAATTATAGTTCTGTTCACAAACTTTGTGTTTAGATTTTGTTCACAAACAGAAATCAAAGTTCAGAGGTGGTTGATATTGATATTTGTTTCTCTGCAATGACTTAGGTTTATTGTTGTTGATCTGATTGTTATTGTGAATGCCCATTTTTCTGATTGATATTTGTTTTAGAGATCAGTGAATCTTATGATTTGGATACTTTTTTTTGATTTGTATGTTTGAGGTTGTTATCAACTTGATATGATAGAAGTTGAAGATGAAAATGAAAGTTAGTATGCAGGTTGTTTGGTATATGGATATTAGATTTTTTTGCTTACTTCATAGTTGCTGCGTCTGCTTAGTTTGTTAATAGGTTGCCTTTTATAAGCTGATGTCTACATACTGTTAGGCAAGATTATATTCCTGTATATATATTATATATTAAAAATAACCTTCCATATAAAATTATGTCATGAAAAATGTAATGATTTATGACATGCAAGAAAATGACCTAAAAGATTATATATGGCATACAAAGTATGTCATCAATATATTAAAAATGACATTCTACGGCATACAAAATTATGTCGTGAAAAATGTGATGATTTATGACATGTAAGAAAATGCCGTAAAATATTATATACGGCATACAAAGTATGCCATAAATATATTAAAAATAACCTTCTACGGCATGCAAAATTATGCCATGAAAAGTATGATGATTTATGGTATGACAAAAAAGTCGTAAAAAATTATATACGACATACAAAGTATGTCATTAATGTTTAATTTATTACTTTTTACAACTTTACCTGCATGCCGTAAATGATGCTCAACTTTCCATGACATGTCATATAACGACATTTGTGTGCATGCCGTGAAAGAATTTTTACGGCATGCATTGCAAGCCATAAAAATTCAATTTTGTTGTAGTGGAGAACATTACTATGGACTTCGTAGTCAAGCTACCGTAATCAGTCTCAAAGAATGATGCAATATGGGTTATCGTAGATCGATTGACGAAATCGACGCATTTTTTACCAATCAGAATCATGAACTCCCTTTCTAAGTTCGCCACTCTATACATTAAGGAAATCATTCGTTTGCACGGTACCCCAGTTTCAATTGTATCCGACAGAGACCCCCGCTTCATGCCTCACTTCTGGAACAAATTGCAAGAAGCTTTGGAAACCACTCTGAAGTTTAGCACGGCTTATCACCCGCAAACTGATGGACAATCTGAAAGAACAATCCAGACTTTGGAAGATATCTTACGTGTGTGTGCGCTAGACCTCAAAGGTAATTGGGATGATCACCTACTTTTGCTGTCTTTCTCTCTCTCTCTCTCTCTCTCTCTCTCTCTCTCTCTCTCACTCTCTTTGTCTATCTCTCACTCATCTTTTTTTCTCTCTGTGTCTCTCTCTCTCACTCATTTCTCTTCTCTCTAAATAATTCATTTCTCTCAATCACACTCATCTCTTTCTCTGAGCCCATTATTGTTGAAAGAGGAAAAAGTCAAAAAAATGAAATAGGTCTCTCTCTCTCTCTCTCTTGCTCATCTCTCTTCTTTCTCTCTTTTTCTCATCTCTCTTCTCTCTCTCTTTTTTGTCTCTCTCTATATCTCTCGTTCATCTCTTTCCTTTCTTTCTCTCTCTCTCTCTCTCGCGCTGATCAGCTCTTGTTTCTCTCTCTTTTTTTGTTTCTCTCTCTTCATAGCTTTCATTGCGTAGCAAAATGGACACAGAAGTTTTTGGCAAAAAAATGAGTTTTTTTTTCTTTCCTTTTCGACGGCAACCTTCCCTCGTGGAAAATAAAGGTTATTGGCAACAACAATACCCCTATTGCAAATAAAAAAAAAATTATTCCTTCCATCCCAAAATATTAGTCCCTTATTCTATTTTTTATTGTCCTAAAATATTAGTCCCTTTCCAAAAATCAAGAAATAAAATAATATGAATTTATTATTTTGCCCTTCTTTTAAATTCATTAATAATACAAAAGGGACAATTATTACAATTGATATTCTAAAAAAAAATGTACTATCAAAAGGTAATTTTGAAAAATTAATATTTTAAAATATAATGTTACCCAAAAGACAATCTAAGAGGGGGGATGAATTAGGTTTTTACAATTAAAATTAATTACCCTAATAAAATTATGACTAGCACAATAGATAAATATAATTAATGAAATAAAAATAATTAAAACAAGTGTCTTAACAACTATGTCAGTTAATGATTTTAGCACAGTAAAAATGTGAAATATAACAATGGCAATTTAAAATAAAATAAAGAGATAAGGGAGAGAAAGGAAAACAAATTTATAGTGGTTCAGCTTCAACTCGGCCTACGTCCACTCCTCAAGCTTCACTTGAGATTTTCCACTATCTTCTAGCTTCACAGGGGCGCTAGCAACCTCTTTACAAATTGAGCAATCCTCCACGGATTTTACACAGACTTCACAAGTCCAAACCTGTGCAAATCTTAGGTGATTAACAATCACTCTCAAGATTTCAAGAATACAGTGTTTGCAACACTTTTACAAGATAAAATGGTATTTTTGCTTTCAAAGAAAGCTTACAATAAATATCTCTCAAAGATAGATATATAAAATGAAGCTTTGGTTTTCTGTAAATCTCACACAGGAAAGATGGGCTTAAAGCTACAAGGCTCAGTGTATAATTTCTGAGAATAGATGTGAGTGATTATAGGTCAAAAAATATTTTTAGGTTTTTTTTGTGTAACTTGTTTACATTAGAGACTTTGGTATATATAATGAAAATTATAGCTGTTTATAGCCGTTGTAGTCATTTGAATTTATAACCGTTGTACTTCTATCATTACCAATTTGAATATCTTCCACTCCATCATTATAAATTTGAATATCTTCCACTTGAATCTTTTGAACTTTTTGGCCTTTTGAACCTTTATAGCCGTTTATAGCCGTTCTACTTCCATCCTTACTAATTTGAATATCTTTCACTTGAACCTTTTGAACCTTTTGGCCTGCTGCTATGCTAGGCTGTTTGAACTTTTGTTTTGGGCTGTTTGAACTTCTGATTTAATCAAATGTTAAATACATTCTAACAACATTTAAGATAAAGGTTTAGGTGAGAAATAATGGGATAAAATAAATTTTGATTCTATTTTTCTCTTTTAAATAAATCATCAAAATAAATTTTGGACTCTATTTTTCTTTTTCAAATAAATTAAAACATAATTAAATAAATCATCAAAAGAAATAAGTCTAACAATCTCTCCCTTTTTGATGATGGCACACAATGATGTTTTGATTTGATTTTTTTTCAAACATAATTAAATAAATCATCAAAATAAATAAGTCTAACAATCTCCCTCTTTTTTATGATGGCACAGAATGATCTTTTGATTTGATTTGGGAGTAAGAAAAGCCCCTCCTCAAGTCATGCTCCCTAAATTCATTTCTAAATACATAGGTTAGCACATGTGTAATAAATCAGTTTTAATTAGAGACATGATATGAGACTAAGATATCAAACTATAAATACATAATTATCAGATTAGTTTTCAAATAATACCATAATTGGAAAATAATACCATAATACATAACATCATATAAGTTCTCCCCTTGTGACATTAGCAGAAGGAAATCATGGGTCGGAATCTAAAAGAGGAGGATGAGGAGGAAAATGATAGTGATAAAGGGCATCATATATATATATATATAGTACATATATATAGTACATATACAACTCTCCCGCGTCGCTCTCGTTTTTCGCAAAACGTGGTTGCCACGTGGCCTGGCTTTTGTTTCATTGGCCGACAAAAGCAACGCTCCTCGATTGCCACTCGCCTCTGCTATCTCGCCCTCTTTATCTTCTTCTCTTCAGCCTTCTTCTAAATTATGCACTCTTCCATTTTCTTCTTCACCATTCTTGTCTGTTTCTTCTTTCTTATCGAGATACAAAAAAAAACTGAACGGAGGAGGTCAAACCTCTGTCTGTTCTCTTCTATTTCTCTGCAACTCATTTCATTTATAGCTCTCACCTCTAAACCATGGCTTCCTCATCCCGTCCCCCCACTCTATTTCCGGACCTAAACGATCCCATAAGCTCTGCTGGACCAAGTGCCTCTACTCCTATTCTTCCTGTCATTCCTCTGCCTAACCTTCCTGTGATATCGATTGAGCAAATCATGGCAGCTCAATCTGGCATAGAAGCCAATCATTTCACACTGACGTCCTGTATGGAGACGGTGACGGCAGTCACAAAATTGGTTCACCGATTGCAAAACAGGATGAGTGAGCTCCATCAGGTCAATGCCCAACTCTCACTGCTTCAGCGCATGTACAAGGATGCGCGAGCAGAAATAGGCGCACTGAAGGCTAAAAATAAAGAGCTTAAACGGAAGACTACCTCCATCACCCGATTTGGAGCAACGTCGTTCTTGGCCTTTGATAGTCAGCGGGGAGTCGTCGCTCTCGACGAAAGCACGGGGACAGTGGCGTCAAGGGTCGCCCAAGGTGATAAAAAAAAGAAGAAAACGATCGAAGAGGCGAGTAAGTAAGATCGGCGTATGGCCGAAAAAAAATAAAGGGTTTTTTTTTTTTTGGTTTTTTTATGTAAATATTTGTATTTTGATTTGTTGTTGTGTTTATGTTTAAGTACTAAAAAATGAAATTAAAAAGCAGAGAAAAAAAGAAAATTAAATCCAAACAAAAAATAATAAGGAGAAAAAAATAAAAATAAAAGAAATTAAGCCTAATAGCAAAATAAAAAAATAAAATAAATTAAAATAAAATAAAATAATACCAGCAGAAATTAAACTTAAAGCATATGTGAAGCAGTTGAGCATGATCTAACAATCAATTTCTGGAAAGAGCATACAGATTTTATACAAGATAATTATAAAAAAAAAAAAAAAAGAATATGTGAGGTGCAAGCTCATAAGTGTGATATCAAAAATAGAATAGAATCTGAGGGAATTTTTATGTACGTATTTATTTATTTATTTATTAAACTAATCAAGTTTAAATTCTTCCTCTTGTTTCATTTGGCAAAATCAATACGAGATATGAAATATTCTCCTCAATAATAGCAAATAGGATGCCAAATGTTACCAATAAGGATACCAAAATGATACCAACGTGC